GTGTAAGGAGTTCCGAGTCGTAGGCGATGAATGATAGTGCCGTTATACCTAGGGAGATGATGCTCTAGTTGGCATTCAATATTAGGATAAACAGCATATGGGATTAATTCCTTTGTTTTGTCTGTGAACCAGGTAGACAAGCGTAATTGAAGTTTTGTTGTTCTTAAATTTTTATTTACATCATATTGAGATACAGGAATGAGGCGAGTTTGCGTAGAATGATGAGTGCTTTTCACCAACTCCCCTGCCATTTCATTTTCCCTGATTCCGCATGCAGTGACTGGGAGCCCATCCAAATTCACTCGATGATTCGACTTCGTATCTTCTGAAAGTTCTTTTAATATAGCGTATAATATAGGCACATCACTGTGTCTTGAAGTTGCATTTTCCACACATGCGAGTGCAGCCAGAGAGTCTGTAACTTCCACCCATTTTCTTGGTGTCGCTGACAGTTTAATAAAGCTTATGGCTAGCAAAACCGCTACGAGCTCTAACGTTATTGAAGAGGAGAGATGGCCCAACCGACATGCATATTTTTCGAGCAATTTCGCAATTATAAAAGCTGATGTCGCTGTCTTTTCGGTGACGGAGCCATCAGTGTACACGTGAGTGTAGCCTTCATGTTTGCTGCAAAGTCCTTCTATTGACGTTTAAATAGTTTATAGCTCAAGTAGCCATGACAGGTAGTTTGGGTCCAGTGGCCAATGTGTCTACACAGGAAGCCGGGAAATGTACTGTTGGGACACGTGGTGGATTTGCGCTCCGGCATGGTTCATGATGTTTGATATGAGCGGATGTGAAGGGTGTTGCGTGACTAGATGAAAGAAGTGCCGGCAGTTCCCCATATATCGAATCGCTATAAAGTTTGGTTCTCTTGCTTCTTCCAGTGTCAGAGAACTTGATGTCGCCGGTGGAACCCCCCCCCCCCCCCCCCTCCGATTTATGCGTAAGCTTGGTGCTTAGCTGAAGTCCGCGTAGAGCCGTCTCAGAGATAAGACATTGTTTAGAACTGGCGCAGAGTATACAATCTGTCGGATAAATGCACAATGAACGTGAAGTAGAGACGCTGATGTACCACCCCATTTTGTTCCGGCTATGCAACGTATAACATTATTGGTGTAGTTCTCTTGATTTTGTAGATCGGCAATATGCTGACTCCGTCTGAGTTGGCTGTCTAAGGTAACACCAAGAAGTGATGCCTTCGTGCGATTTCAATTTTCTGGCCATCCACATAAAGTTTCAAGTTTTTCACTGTCTTTCTTGTGAACGGCAGAACTACCAATTTGGCGTGAGAAATTCGCATGCCTCGCTCTTTGGCGTAATCACTTATTGCGTTTAATCATTGCTGAAGTCGATGTTTGATCACTTCTGTGATTTGTGAGACGTCCATATGCATATGTAATCTGCATACATTGATATGTTCAAGGCTTTAAGCAGCACTTCTAGAAGATTTGTAATTGCAGCATTGAAAAGAGGCGAACTTGGGGTACACCTCTGCTCATGTGCACGTGTAAGCGATCGCTGTCTCCATTATTGGTAGGAATGTACATTTGCCCGTTACGCAGCAGTTGGCGATCAGTTGAAGGATCCGATCATAAACTGCTAGTGAGGTAAGCCCATACAGCACAGATAGGTGGCTGACAAAGTCGAACGCATTTCTTATATCTATGAACGCCGTGACGGCAATGTTTCCACAACTCGTTTCGTGTTCTACAAATGTAACGAGGTCAAAGACGCAGTCCATAGTGCATTGCCGTCGTCTGAAGCCAGCCATCTGTTGTGGAAGAGAGTTGTTAGCTTCAATCCGCCACTGTAATCTTCTGTCAATCATTTTTTCCATGACTTTATATACACAGCTAGTGAGGCTGACTGGTCGAAATGAGTCGAGCGAAAGCGGTGATTTACCGGGGTTTAGCAGTGGGACGGTCCTCGCGACCTTCCAACACGTTGGAGCGTACGCCTTCGTCAACTTGTCGTTATATATCCGTAGAAGAACTGGCATGCCGTTGGGGCCTCCATTTTTCAGGACACTGGATGACACATTGTTTGGATCTGTTGCCGTTCTTACACGGGTTAATATGTAGCAGTGTTCAACTCTAGTAGAGAATACATGTTATCCAGTTGATCATGTGATAAAGCGTATGCATCTTCGATTTGCTTCTCTACAGAATCAGGCAGTGCAGTAGTGTTGTGAACCAAATGCCGAGTTCCAGTCAGAATTGTGCAAAACTTATTAGCAACCACGTTCGGATGATCCAAGAGATATGGCCAATGCTCCTAATGGGCTTCGCTGGGATACTGGATGACACAAAGCAGTCGTTGCTTGCCAGATTTTAGGAAGTGGAGCAAATGGAGTCAATGAATTGCAGAAATCATGCCATTCTTTCCGACCTAACTTCTGCACGTGTCGGTTAGATTGGAAGCGTGTGGCCTAACTCTCCCTGTAATCTTCTAGCCTCCCAGTGCGGTGATAGCGACGTTCTGCTCGTGTTCTAATTTCTCGTTGGCGCTCATAGTCTGCATCTACGATATAGTGACCTGTTCGGAGGGCTGTTAACATTGTTGCACGGGAGTAACTGCTTTGAACTCAGGACATAAACATATCCAGTTTATTAACTATCACCAAGTCACGTCCAATATGTTCACGAAGTAGTTTCCAGTGAGTTAGTTTTAAGGTTAATGTTGTCGTTTGCACTTGCATGAGTGGGTCTTGCATGAGAACTGGATAATGGTCGCTGCCTCGTGTTCCAAGGTCTGTACACCAGTTCATATCTCGTGCAATGTCAGGGAAGGCTATAGCAAAATCTAGACAGCTGGCATAATTATAACCCTTTCATACCGTTACTGATTCAACATCAAGTACACGGTGAGCACATCTATGAATTGCTTTTTCAAGTGTTCTTCCACGGGAATTGGTATGAGTACTATCTCACGTGGTATTGAATGCATTCAAATCTCCACAGATGAGGGCAGGTCCCTGGACTTTACCCAATAAATGAACCAGGGATGATTCGGTGATGCGTGTCAATAGTTGCAAATAAACACATATTACTGTGATGGTAAGTTTGTAGAATTCTATTTTGAACCCTACAAATTCTGGCACGTCTGAGTCGGACGAGTATAAAAGAAAATAGGGTATTTCACGCCGTACACATACCAGTGGCCTGCTCCAGTGTGAAGTCATTCTTGATGGATATGTCACATCATTTGAAATCTTAATGCCAGAGCCTACGTTGATTTTATTTAGACACAAAATGGGGAAGCTATACTGAGCAACGAGCTTCCTAAAGTACGCGCTTTTAGACTTAAGACCATTAGCATTCCACTGAAGCATGCACAGGAGCATTGCGGAAACAGTTTTCCAATTGTAGAGCCATTGAGCTACGCAACAATTTTTTGTTGTATACTTCTGGAGGCTCTAATGAAAGGACGGCGCTCACCGCTGGAAGGTCATTGACATGCGGAAATAGAGGCAGAATTGCCTTCAATGCAAGGAAAAGCATTACCATAACCATATCGATATCCCTTGTTTTTGGTGCACATTGTTCTTGTGCTTTTGGCCTTACTGAGGTGAAAGGTGTAAACTCATGGTTACGCTGAGTCGCTGACATTTTCGGTGTCCTCTTGTCGCTTCTCTGCCTTTGAACACTAGGTGATCGTCCTCTACTGTCCGTTTTGGTTGTACTATCATTTTTCAGAGCAGAAGCACGTTTGTCTACCATCGCATATGATAGCGGTGATGTACTCTTCTGTGATTTTGAAGCCACAGGGAGTGGATGCACCGTTTCAGGATTCGGACAAGGCGATCCCTTTTTCGGAGCTCTTCCAAACAAAAGGTCCGGTCGCTTTAGTCGAGTAGCCACCTGATGTTTCGGACAACCAGCATACGACGCTACGTGGTCTCCATTGGAATTGGAACATTTGGGGTGATTTTGGATTTTGAGAATATTTTAGACCTTTCTCGTTTTTTAACCTGGTTTTGATAATTGTTATGTGTAGGCCTGCATAGTGAACTTGATTGTGAGCGTGATTACGCCTGATGAGATTTAGGGACGCTAAACCGGGCCCCTAAAGTGCTGCGCACTCAAAACATGCTTTTCCTTCTACCATGGCCGAGGTCCACACAGTCACGTTAATTGCCTCCGTGGTTAGGGTGGCTAGAATGGAGAGGTGTGAAAAGCGGCCGCCAAAACCGCTCCCCAAAGCGCGCCGATGCCACTTGGGGCACTGCATGCTTCGGCGTGGGCAACCTTGCGGAGGAAACAAACGAGACGGCACGCGCCGCTCTCCACAAAAATTGCTTCCAAGCTGTGTGGCGGGGACCCGTTTTCAGTAAAATCATTTTGATCGAGCAAGTGTAGGGCAGTACATGGCACCTAAGTCCTTTAAAATCTCATCTCTGAAAACCATTCTTGAAAAGTCGTACGAGGAAGATTTGATGACAACTTTCATGAACTTGAAGGCCAACTCCGGCGATTGTTTGACCATGTCAAGGTAATGGTATTTCTATGCTCCCGAGATACTCTTGTCATGAGACCAATAGCTGAAATACTCAAGAAATTCGCAAATGATTTTAATAAGCAAAAAGGTGCGAAACTGAAACCCGACCGGGTGCCCTTTCTGCGTATGACGTACTATTTGGCCTGAACCAGAGGCGGTATATTGGTCCCGCCAGCGTGTAGTATGAAAACTGTGAAAACCAGACGGCCAAACACCACTCAGGAAGGAAGAAAGCTTCCCTATGCAATACCTGTGCCAGACAGCTCCGCCGTCACCTTGTGGCCACCACAGTAAACGCTAGCGGCCGAAGTAGCGTTGTCATAAGCTGCGTCCCTTCCGTTGACATGCCATACATGACGTCACCCAGACAGTGTTGCCAATAATTCTGGCAAACGATGTGAGCTATGCGAGAAAATCTTTGAAATTAATTTGCAAACAATGAGCGCATCTCTCAAGCCTATAAATTGGTATCAATTACGAAAATGTGGAAAGGAACGTACCCAGTGAATTTCATTGAGATCCATCGACCTCAAAAAATCGTTGGAGTTGACCTGCAATAATAATGCGGTTATTCGCGGCGGAGCTGCAGGGGCGCCGAGAGATGTTAATCACTGTAAGGCTTCATATTAATTTGAACACACTAAATTCATTCAACCACGAGTGGAAACTTTGGTATCAGAGCCTAGTTTCGCTGTTACGAACGCAAAATCTTGCACAAGCTGCAACTTAAATACTCCCTTAGCGTTCATTATCGGCCAGCGAATGTAACAGCTTTAGTGGCGTACAGTTACTCATTCTCAGATTTGGGTACACGTTAAAGAACCCCAGGTGATCGAAATTTCCGAAACCCTCCCCTATGGCGTCTCTCACAATCATATGGTCATTTTGGGGCGTTAAACCCCACATATCAATCAATCAATCACAGTTACACAGTTACACACAAATATCGCAATAACAATGTTTCCGGGAGCAGACATGCGAACAGTTTTTACAAAAACACTTTATTTTCATGCATATCAGGTGTGCATGAACTAAAACACTCATAGTTTTACTATTTGATTTTTCTTTTATTATTATGGTAGGTTCACGCCTTTCAAAAAAGAAGTGGGACCGAGTGAGTCAATAACATTTCACCAAAGAAATTCGACCGATCTGCAAAGCTCCGCTGAAATACCACTTCTGCCTGGACTGGGAGATTTCTTGGCGCATTTAGTTCTGAAAGAAGTAGTGTTGTATATATTACCAAAAAAATGTAACCAGACAGGTTACTCGCTATGCTAACAATAAATATTCGCGTTATTATCCTATGCTGCCTACCAGAAAGGCAACTGATTACCGTTACCGAAATAAAAATAACGTACGTCTTTTTAGATTTTACTCCGTGATTGATATGTGGGGTTTAACGTCCCAAAACCACCATATGATTATAAAAGACGCCATAGTAGAGGGCTCCGGAAATTTTGACCACCTGGGGTTCCTTATCGATTATACTCCAAGATGAGAAGCTTGAATGAATGCGCCCGCGCTGCGGGAGCCAGAATATTATTTTAGTAAACCTCGTATTTATATTTAACATCTCATAAAGCATTCGTTAATAATCATGGTTCTAGTACCATAATTAATCTTGCTAAGATAAACGTAAACCCAAGTAATTGTACCACTAGACACAACGAATTGAATGTTGATTTCACCTAATCCTAGAAGTGAATAGGATGAACAGTGTCCTACAGGCTACCTTACCTATTAACCATCTTAAACGACGAAGACTTTGATACTTCGTCCTTTCTTCTGCCATTGAGAACTTCCTATGAATCTATTTAAATATCGAAAAAAAAACTTCGCTACAATTGGCTGTCTTGTGCATTTTTAAATAATTCCTATTACCGTATTGTATCTTTTACTGTGATGTCTCTGTGCAGCAGTGTATCGTTTTGGTCCTGATGATTTCTGACACTTCATTATAGAATTATGTGTAATTTCTTAGGACTATTACCCAACTAGGGCGCTGTAGACGTAATTTTAAATAATCAAAATCGTTACATTAGATGCTTCGCCCAGCTCATTCACTTTCCCGAATAGTAGATCTCCAGGAATTTTGGTCACTCTACTTAATAATTTTTCCTTTTCATGTTCATGCCAAGTCATGATACATATGTATTCCCTTGCTCTCTATTTCTGGAGCTTTGTTTCATACCTTTTGTATTCGTACTTGGTGTCATTTTATACTTGTAAAGTTTATTTTTTATTGTACATGTATGAATGTCTGTCGTGTATTGCTGCTTTAGCAACTTGTGACGGTGTCGGTACCTTGTCAATCCATTGAGCTTTTAGTCCTGTGCTCTTCCTATTGAACGAAAAGAAATGAAGTCTCTGACCAAAACAACTATAGCTAATTTAGGTGAATTAAACTAGAAAACTTTGCACAAGATGCTGGACGTATAACACAGCTGCCTAATGCACACCGTAGTGTTGCAGGTGATAGCTTATAACGTCGTGGCACATGTTGAATCTATTTTTCATTGTTACAGAAAGCCGAAATATTATTTCACCGGCAACCCTCTCCGAAAAAATATGACCGCTGACCTAAAAAATATTACAGTAATTCTAGCAGCTTTCATCTGCTAGTGGACCATAATCGTAGGTATTTGCAGTGTAAATAAATTTTGCCCCTTTAACCTACACAAGGCCCACTAGAATTGCGACTATTTATGGAAACGTGAGCCTTGCTTTTCCAGGTACTGCAAACTTAATGCTCCGTGACCTGTACTATCAGCAGAAGCAAAATTTATTTTCGAAACATAACTGATAAATAGCGCTACCGTGTTGCAGGAACGATTTGCTGACAACTATAACTCGCGCAATTTAAGCAGCAGCTCTATTTATACATGTATAACGAGTGCGTCAAATACTAATTGCCGAAGTAACGTGCTATACCAGTAACGGTGTTACTTGTAACGCGGAACCACCAACACCGGAAACAAGGCGGGCGTTCTTGCACTCATCACAATTATTACGAAGTACCAGATTTCTCACAGCGTATCTTGCCACATAATATACAGGGCGAACATCCGCTGCTCAGCGGTGTACGATTCATGGGCGACAGACACTGCTAGTGCATCAGATGGAAGTCTTTCGTAGTCTTCCTCGTTTTATTCCATCTCATGCAGCATTTTTTCTGCTGACAAAGAGACTCCTCCACTAAGTGATGCACGTTGCCACCCTTGGGACTCTTCAAGAGGGTAAGCTGAAGCATTAAGTTTGATGGTAAAGCATAACGCAGCGACGCATGATCTACTTTTTTTTTTGTCGTTGACACCTTCAGGCATTTCAGAGAAACCCAGCTCAATCACCGATTGACGACGTGCTCGTAAAGCAGCTACCGCCGGTGAAAATAAAAAGTAGCGCACCCGAGGAAAACTCTGTGAAGTGCGCCGTACGCCGGTGCCATCAGCGCCCCTAGCGGCATCAGCGCCCCTAGCTGAAGGGCCTTCGGCAAGCGAAAAGCTCCACGCTCGTCACACCTCCCCATTCTAGCCAGCTTACCATGGTCGGAGTGAAGAGAGTTTCGTGGGTTTCGTCTCTTCAAACGTCGTATACCGACGTAGTGTCCAACAGAGGCGCTAGTAATAATAAAAAAAAACTCTTCTCAGTGAAAAAAAAAAGGCATTGTTACCGTCATCATCCGACTGAATGTTAACGTGAATGGTCGCATCGATGCTTGTTGGCAGAAACGCTTGTGCCCGTCTTGTAATATGAGTGGGGCTGCAATTTTGAACTTCTAGGCTCCCAACTAGCTACCTGAAACTTTCATTATTACGGGAGCGCTTTTTTATATTATATGTGCTATCGAAAGGGTGAAATAGGATTGAACTGTAGGTACGATCGCTGTGCACGGCCGATTTCTTTTTTGCCGTGAAAATTTCATTCTTGAAGGCTTTAGTTATTGAGTGGTTCAGCTGTACACCAGAGAAAGTCTTCTGAATTCTGGTGTACAACTTGTTTATCGCCTACAAGGGTTGATTTTGATATACTGAGTGAGAAAGAAGGAGGTCTTACCTACGCCTGAGATCATTGCATAACCACTACTTACCACGTAACTTTGCTATGCGTACGACAAAACGAACTTCGTTTGCCCAGCGGAATGAGATTGGTGGAATACGGATTAAGAGTCAGCTTTAGTGAACAATAGAGCGAAATACTACAAAAGGCACCCAGAAAAACTCTTTGTGTGGAACTATATTTCCACAAAAAGGTCACGAAGAGATGGTATACCATCTCTTCATGACCTTTCTTATTCACTTGTTTCGTTTGTATAGAAAACCCCAGCACTCAGTCGACAGTATACTTTACGTTGAGTTGCTAAAAGGGCTTACGTAAAGACGCGTCGGTCACTCAGCATTTAATCCTTTTCTCTCCTTTATGCTCGGCGACATATATCGTGTCACATCGTTGGCTTCTTTTCAGTTGCTGCGGCCGCCGGGTCAAATCAATATTTCCGGAACAGTGAAGCATTGGCTCGGCGAAAATGTGGGAATCCCAACGTTTCTTATTGCGTTTGCGCGGTCATTGCCCCGGTTGGTCGCGCGAAAGGCTTCTCTTCAGCAAAAGACTCCCTTTGCACAGTCGGAAGCGGCAGCGAGGTGATATAACGCTCTTCTTGCTCGGTGGTTACGCCCCAATAAATCGGTGGGGTGCTCTACATTCGGCCATTTCTGAGGCGGGATTCGAACTCTCTGCGCTCCAGTAACGGGACGCGTCCGGCTCGCAAAGGATGGCGTTAGTTTATGAGCGGCGTTAGTCTTTGGTCTTAATGCGAGAAAGGCTGGTGAGGCGGGGGCCGGCAGCTTTGGTCGAGTGCCACAACTTGTGCCTTTCGGTGCTTCTTCCTGTGACAAGAGGGCTACAAATTAATTGTCCACTCATTTGCACATATATAAACAGTATTCTTTCATTATCTTTTTGTCGATAACTTCTATAGCCCCCTACTCACTGCTGCAGGCACCGTCCACAGTGCCAGCGGCTCGCACCAGTGCGGTAACTGTAACTGTGAGCGCGAACAAATGGACGAGACTTTAAACAATTTATTGTGCGAATGCCCCTATATAGGAGTCCCAACGGAAGACGTTGACCTCAACGTTGACAGGCATTGGCGTCACGTGTATACGTGCGGCGCTATTAGATACCACATATAGTATGCACATAACGTGCGCTGTCAATATCTTCGGGCAGCTTCGGGTTGTCACACAGATGACTACCACACACGTGACCCAGACGTTGTTTTCTGTCCCGACCGGAACTAGCTGACTGAACCACTGGCTATCTGGGGCAGCCAGCGAACTGATGGAAGTCCGAGAATCGAAGATCCTCACTTTACCTTTTTTTCCCTGAGACGAAAGCAGCCCAGAGCACACAAACTGATGCCGACCTGTCTGCCTTCTTGCAAAACCTCCCTCTCACTCCTTTTTCTTTACTATTCATAAACAAGTAGGGCACAAGTTCAGGGAAAACTGAAAGCTTGAAGAAAAGAACGCTTATCGAACACGGGAAGATCAT